GTTGTGTTTGTTGGGGTTTAACAAACCTTTAACAGTTTAAAGTGAACAGTTTTTTCTCAGAGTCTCCATGGTCTCCATGATCACCATGACCAGCATGACACCCAGAAAAAGGTGGTGACCAAGGCCACCACTGCCATTTTCCCCAGAGGAAAAGGAAAAAAAAGAAAAGAGAAGAGGAAGAGGAGAGGAAAAAGAAAATCCTCCCCATTCCATGTCCCCTCAACATCTCCCTGACTGCCTTTTTCTTCTTTGGAAATTCATTTATTTGCATTCTTGCCCAAATTCTTTGTTTTCCCACTTATTCAGGATTTAAACAAAAGCACACTCAAATTTCCACACCACAATTAATTCAGCCGTGAAAGGAATAAGACGAATGCTTCTTCACAAACAGTTTGTGTGGATCTGGTGGTAGATAGGGCCAGGGACTTGTAGATAAGGAAGTGACCAGAGAAACTATCAGTTTCAGAAAATGTTCGTCATTGATACAGACAGACCTCTGCTCAGACAAAGTCCTGTGAAATTCCTGAACTTCAAGCAGAAGAAGAAAGAATTAGCAGGCTTAAGAATTTTAATTTCCCCACCCAGGGTAAAGTGAAAGCTCATTTTAATGGTCATGTGTCTGAGTTACAGAAGGCCAGGGTGTGTAGCAAGGGAGACATGCAGTGGCTGGACTGGGAAGTCAGCACCTTCCGAATACCTCCACCAATAGGGAAGGGAAGAGGGAAATATGGCCAGGAAATTGGGATCAAAAGGAGGCAGCATCATCGAGCCACTTGAGACACCTATGGGGAAATTCCCAATAGCTTCTTTCTTTTCTCATGAATTAATTCACAGGACTCTTCTGTCTTCTTTCTGCAAGGAAACCACTGGCAAGGTGAATCTTTCTGCTCAAATGTTCGATAGCAAAATTGTTCCACTTGAATCCTAAGTAGTGTGCTTAGCTGAGGCCACAAAATGGTAGCTCTGCCTTTGATACCCCTGGAGTTGCATCAGCCAGATACATATCCATCAATAGTCATACATATACAAAAATTTTCCTTCTATATCCCTGGCCCCTCCCAAAGTCTGCCAGTTGACGCTTCCTTGCTGTCCATTGGTGGAGACCTTCCTGCAGTCTGATTGGAGGTGAGTTGTTGACATGCCACGCCCCCCCAGCAAGAGGCTTTGCCCTATACCAAACCGTCCCATGCAAGGGGCACAGGTACACGCCCTCCCTCCATGTGTCCCTGACAACCCAGACAACAAGGGCCATCCAGTGGGAACAATACAGAGGGGGAAAGGGGACTATGGGGAGAACAAAGGGTGTCTGAATAACAAACCACCATAACATAACCATACATCAACAAAATTTTTCTTAACATATACACAATATTCATCCCTTAATTGTGAGAGCCAATCATCATGTTTCCCATCTATAACAAAGCTGTGGCTGCCCCATGCTGGAAGGTTTCAAGGCCAGTCTGAGCAGGCCCTGGAGCAGCCTGGCCCAGGGGAA